TAGGGATGTAAAACTTGCCACCATCACTATGACTTTTCACCATAATCTATGTAGTCGATATGCCTAAGTTGTAGTGGCTACCACCGTGAGATGGAAGGGGTTTCCATTGGTTAACATTGCCACACATTCCCATCTTCATGTTTGATGCAATGAGGGTGGGGTATTATCTTTCATCATGAAGCAAAGTGTGTTGGGGGACTATGACCGTACACCATCCTAATGTGATTATAGTGGGTCTTCATGCCTTAGTTACTTCATCATTTCACGAGATCCAAATCTAAGGAGGAGCTACCAAGTAGAAGATGCCAAGATTAAGGAGGGGACCACTATCTCAATCCATTATTATAGCACTTGAAAAGGTACCCGTCGTTCCACCTTAGCCAAAAAGATTCTTCAAGATGGTTACTCCTTATGAATATAAATAGAATGTGAAGATGACAAAGCAAGGGTTCACAAAAATCACAAATTCACACAATTTGCCAACTTTTTAGTTTTCTATTCAAATTTAGTAATATTTGAGCTCTCATTGGACCTCTATATGAGTAGGTTAACTCAATGCAATTTGTATGGTAAACCATAAAAAATGGTGAATACCTGTGTTTGAACTTTCTTCAAAGAGTACTGAACCGTGTTTAGTAACCCTTGTTCCAAGAAGTTAAATTGTATTCAATTATGTCAAAAACAAGTATTCTTACTGAAACACATCATCATTATATTCTTTGCATTACATCAGCCTCACTCAAAAGAGATTTTGATTTGACGTTGCCGCCAAAAGTATTTTAATTGTTTTTCATCTTCAAATCTAAGTCCTGCCATCTTATTGTATTTTCATTTCTTAGACTTTGATCGTAGATTTCTAGTGTTTACTTATTGCACTCTTCGATCCTCTCTAGGTTGGTGGTCTATAATTCCCATCTGGTTGACGCTTGGTAAGGGGAAGTTACCTTTTGTAAGCTATAACTAATGTTGATCATAAGATTGGTGTTATCTCATCCAAAGGCGGTAGTAGGTTTTATTATGTGCCAAAAATCTTATGATTGGGCATAAGATTAGTTATAATTCCTTAGATAATAAGTGATTAGACAAGGTTAATTTTTCATTCAGCCGCATATCAAAATAATTATATGGATTAAGGAGTAGAAATAAATTGGCATGTGAAAAGAAGAAGTTATTAGGCTAATAATGGGGATAGATTAGTGGGATGTTTTCCTCCTCTACCATTTTTTTTTCTCCCATGACGGAGATCCATTCATCATTAGTTTTCTACAACAATTTTGCACTACGTATCTAGAAGTGTCTCTTTCTCATTCTGTCCCCCTTTCTCTTTCTTTATCACCAAACAAAAAACAAAAAGAAAAGAGAAAAGAAGGAAGAAATTTCAATTCAAAATAGGTTGCAACAACAATGATGTTCATCTTCTCAACATAGTTGGACTTCCTTGTTGTTTTTCGGATCCCGCAATTTTATTTATCATTTAGTGGGGGCTTTAAACTTCCTATTAAGGTAAATAATGTGAGGAATTGAATAATTTCTCGTTGACATTTTGATATGCCTTTTGTCTTGATTTGACGACATATGCTTGTTGCAGATTTAATTTTTCTACTAGGTTGAATGGTTCTCTGTGGCATACCAACTGGAGATGCTGAGATCGGAGATTTTTATCCGATTAGGCCTGAATGCCAAGCTGATGTTCCCAAGACCCGTTTTAGGCCTCGCGTATGTCTATCTTGTCCTACCCTGCCTTACTTGTTCTATTCTTGGGGATAATAATAACACCAAGTCTTCAAACATGCCTTCCTCTTTTGTTTCCTGGGTTTCTTGTTATGGGTGATGATGGGTTGGATGTGAAAATTATATGTTCTCCATCCTCTTTGCTAAATGGATTCTGGATGATGGGTTGTTTCCTTCGTCTCTTTTTCTGTTTTCTAAATGCAGGCTGGGAAAACCCTTAGCGCAAGAAGATGGCATGCTGCATTTTCTGAAGATGGTCATCTGGATATTGCCAAGGTCCTTAGAAGGATACAACGAGGGGTATGGTTCTTTTTCTCTCTTTTGTTGTCCATGCCACCCATTTGAAAAATTTGCAAAGAAAGCCTCTTATGTGTTCTTCAGTTTTATGCCCAACTCCTTTACAAAGAAATTGTTTGTGATTTTACTAAAATTTGTGTTTTAATGTTAGGGTGTTCATCCTGCCATCAAAGGGTTAGTGTGGGAATTTTTGTTGGGATGCTTTGATCCTAACAGCACATTTGAGGATCGAAATGAAATTAGGCAACGCAGAAGGTAGCACCATGATATTTTGTATATTTTCCTCATCAAAGTGACACCATATATTTCTACAATTATTTTGTTAAATATGTCCTTATGTCTTGAAAATAATGCATATAGTTAATGCAAATATTGTCATCTTTTATCGTACTATTTATGATGTCGAGTTTAATTGTGGCAAACTTGTTGGGAGTGATTACCTAAGAATAGGAAAATGTGTCATTTGGGTTATTGACTTTTTGAAACATAATTATATGAGCATGCGTAAACTATTACGGTAGTCTACTGATGCAATTTTCCATGGCCTCTCCTGTGTTTGACCAACAAGTTGTTATGATGTCATTTCCATTTTTAGATCATGCCAACTATGATATGCAATTTCACTTGTTTTATTATATGCTTCCAATTCGGAAGGCTCGTAGTTTCTAGTTTCACGTTTTAGGTGTATCTTAATTTATGACACTAACTTCTTAGGGAGCAATATAACAATTGGAAAGCAGAATGCAAAGAGATGTGTCCAATAATAGGTAGTGGAAGTTTTATCAAAACTCCGGTTATTGGGGACGATGGGCATCCAATAACTGACTCTGATGAGGGATGGCATGCAAGTGATGTTGTTATTGATAAGAAAGTTCTTCAATGGATGCTAACTCTGCATCAAATTGGTATGATATTGCTTCTAGATCTCACTATTTTTTATTTGATTGATTCAAATTTTAGGTTTCTTGTATTGCTTAAATGACATTAAATATGATATTTGTTATGGTACAAAATTCAGAGCTACAAAATCTACAGAACTCGTGGCTTACCATACCTGATATGAATCATACTGTCCCTTAATATGATTGTATTATGGTGTAAGTTTCGTATTAGGGATGGTAAGACACACAATATGGAGGTTTTATAGTTCTGGATTTTGTACCCTATCGTCTCCCGTTAAATATATAATTTTCTTTATATGGAAGAATCTATCACTCAAAGAACTCCATGGGAAGATAATCAAATAGGGTTTTCTAATGAAAAATCTAAATGGATGAGCATTAACTCCTAAAATTTGTTCATGGATTCACAAAGCTGCTAGAAGACAGTTTATAACCGGTTATGATTTTACAACAATATTTTGACTTTAATAATCTATTATATTATGATAATCAAGAGGATGGTATTTAGCTCATTTTGATTTTTTTTCTTTTGATACTTATAGTAATTTATTTATGTGAGATTGAATTAAAATTCACATTCAGATAGCTGGAAATTCTAATTCGGATGTAGTTGCCAGAACTCAATGAAAAACATATGAAATAAGACTTTAAAGAAAAAAGACATGAGAATAGAAATTGATAAAGAAGCATAGGATAATCTAATGAGAATTGTTGGTTCTTGATGGCACACATATTTCCTAGTTTAATTTAGTCTTTCCTTAGGCTTGATCTAGTAATTTGCTTCACTTTTGTGAATACCATCCTTTCTTCTCATTTTGACTTCATGCTCATGTTGGTCATTCTAATTTTTAAGTAATTATGTGGTCACTTCACGATTTTCAGGGCAAATGATATAGTTTGTGAAATTGTAGGTTTGGATGTTGTTCGCACAGATCAATCACTTGAGTTTTATCAGAATGAAGTTAATTCTGCCAAGCTTTGGGATATACTAGCAGTGTATTCTTGGGTTGATATGGACATTGGTTACATGCAAGGTGAGTAGACTTACGATAAACCTATAAAATTGGTATAGTTTTTCTTTTAATTTTTTGTGGTCATTTGAAGTGGTTTCTTGAGCAGGTATGAATGATATTTGCTCTCCAATGGTAATTCTTCTTGAAAATGATGCGGATGCCTATTGGTGTTTTGAGCATGCAATGCGAAGATTGGTATGCACTTCTATCCAAAAATTTATTGACAAACTATAACCTCAAATATTAATTTACGAATGATTAACTCATATTTATAATAATGTATTTGTACTTTCCTTTTACGTGATGATACTACTGTGGTTCTCCCCCCCCCCCTCCCCCTCAAATAATTGAAATGTCTTAATAAAAAATAGCATGTTGGTTAATGGTTAAATGTCTGAAAGGTACCTATAGAGTTCTCAAGTAGAGTTGTCTCTATTATTTGTTGATGATTAGGGGCGATATTCTTGTTTTACTTTGGCATATTAAGATGTTCAATATCCATCATGCTTATGGATCTCCAGCTCTACCGTCCGCTAGCATCACTAGATATTTTTTTGCATTTGGTTGATCTATTCCTTTTCTTTTGCCACAGAGGGAAAACTTTAGGACGAGCACTACTTCCATTGGAGTACAAACTCAGTTAAGTACACTCTCTCAAGTAATCAAAACCGTTGATCCAAAGCTTCACCAACACCTAGGTATTTCTTCTTTCCCCTTACCATGTCAATTATCTTACGCCTTTTGTTGTATCGTGATTATCAACCCATTTTTTGTCACATATACCCCCAAGTAAATATCCTATATAGTGAAGATAATATATTCTGTTATTACAAGAGGCATAAATAGTGGCTTGACACCCACATGAATGGATGAATGTTGTGATCAGCACAACAGTATTTTTTCTACAACATTAACGCACAAACTGGACGTGAGATCTTATTATCATAGTAAATCTTTTTTCTGATTGGATATTTGCAGAAGATTTAGATGGAGGTGAATATTTGTTTGCGTTTCGAATGCTGATGGTGCTCTTCCGGAGGGAATTTTCCTTCGTAGACTCGTTGTATCTTTGGGAGGTAAGAAAAGCCCTGAATTTTGTGTTGCATCATCCTATGAAGTTTAAATTTTAAATAATACATAAAATCATATGACCAAGACAGAATGGGTGTTCAAGATGATGTGGGCTATTCATATTTATGGATAGATTTGGTGTTCAAAAGTCTATTCATATTTATATAACTAGTCATTTTCATTTTGTTTTTACCTAGTCAAGCTTATTTATGGATAGATTGGTTTCAGCTGATGTGGGCTATGGAGTACAACCCAAATATCTTTACCATGTATGAAGAGTCCAAAGAGGCTGATGAAGAAGAGGAGAAAGAGGTAGCAGCACCTGCATCAAATAACAAGCAACAACTACAACAATATGGCAAGTTTGAAAGGAAGTATGTGCAGACTGGCATTACAGACCAACATAGCGCACTTTCTATCTTTCTAGTGGCAAGCATTCTCGAGGCTAAGAACAAGAAGATCTTGAAAGAAGCTAAAGGGCTGGATGATGTTGTCCAGGTTATCCTTTTTGCCTCCATCTCTCTTTAAATGTCTTAGTTGATGCCCACCTTGTCAGCCAAAATAAAAAGAAGGAAAAGTGAGGAGTAGAAAAGCATATGCATTTGTGTAGATGCATCTTCATTTTATCTTTAATTTTTTGTTTGTAGATATTGGGCGATGCTACAGGAAATTTGGATGCTAAGAAGGTATGTCAAGAGGCCTTGAAGATACACAAAAAGTACTTGAGCCAGGTATGCCATCAAATGCTTTTAGTTATCTTATTTTTCATGATGCTCGTCTAAGTGATTCCATATAGCCCTTTAAGTCGTACATATTATGAGATTTTGATAGAAGATTCATTCTAGAATTGGTGCCTATATTTGGTAGAATTGTTTTTTATATTTGGTAGGCCAAACAAACCACTAGTCTTAGGTCGGACACACATTATTCTATTCACTCACTTGCAAGTACATATAAAATAGTTAAACTAGAATTGATACTTATATTTGATAGGCCAAGAAGTGATAAAAGATGGAATATTACTGCAGAGCACTAGCTAAAACTTTGGAAGGCAAGGAAGTGAAGATTGGGTACTCCACCAAATGTTACAAATAGTATCATGGTGTTTGCTTTGGATTTGGAGGATTCCTCATAAAAAGCTTTTAGGTATAAGGGGGAGTGTCATTTCCATCTATTGGATGGAGCTATTTCATTTTATTTCCACTCAACTATGTTTCACTTTTTCCAGTATATATGTCATTTTCCCTGTTGTTGTAACCTAAACAAAGTAAATACATGTTGTATCAAATTAGAACAAAAAATCTTGACAAATTTGCTGCTCTATTCCTAATTCTTTTTGGTGGTCAAAACTAAGGGCTCAACCAATGTTAGGTATCATTATCAAGGCAATAGTAGCCTCTTGGAATATTCCTCTAGAATTTGGCCAACTCTTAACCACTAACTATTATCTCTTTTGTGACGTATACATAATACTCGTAGTTTCTTGTTAAAAATAATCATGTTGCTTGATCCAATGGAGCATGAACAAGGTGTGTATGAAATTCAATCACACTATTAAACCAAACATCCGACTCAAATCCATGTCTAGCCTCATAGACAAAACTTTCTTGAAGCTCATGCTTTGGCCCATGTCATGTCTATAGCAATCTTGAAGCTCTTGTATCATCTTCGCATGTTGTCATCATGTGTGAACCTTTCAGTGCTCTCTCTTGATATTGCGTTTTCCTTACACTTCCAATCAACATTTTGTGATTGCCTTCAGATTAAAGACAAGCTCATTGGACTATTCAAGATTTGGGCAAATCAAAAAATAAACCCCTGTGGGACATGACATAATAAGAATTCTATAAACGTGCATAAAAAATAAAAATGGTTGAACAAAAGGAATATGAGGTAGCTGAAACAAGCACATGATAATAATTTTATGTGGTTCCCTCATTTGATTATGAATGAGGCTACTCCACAGAAAGTTTGAAGCTCTCGTACTCTTTATTATATATTAGGCAAAATACAGCTGTATATCCACAACTATAAGGTTTGTGACAAATATATCCACAACTATCGAAATACACGAAATATCCATTTCCGTCCACTCCGTTAACTCCGTCAGTTAACTTGATGACTGGACAGACGGTGGATGCTTAGTTGGCGTGTTTCTGACCCCACTAAATGACGTGGATTAAAAGAGGAAAAAAATTAGGCAAAATACAGTTGTATGTCCACAACTGTCAGGTTTGTGACAAATATATCCACAACTATCGATATACACGAAATATCCAAAAATCGGAAGGTTGTGTGACAAATCTATCCACTTTCGTCTAAACCTATAACGACGTGTCAGACGACGTTAAGTTGACTAATGGAATGCTAAATCGATGCCATCTCAAATGCCACATAAGCCAAAAAGCAACCAAACTTTACACCGTTATCTGTTAGACCTCGCTGCTGCAGTCTTATCTGTTGGCGATTTGGTTAGATTCAAGCTTTTTTTTGTTTGAGATTCAAGCTTGGCATCACCATGGCGCCGACTGCATGGAAGCTGTGAGATTAAAAGGGAGGCAATGGCTGGGGATTGTGGTTGGAATCGAAATCTGGGCTTGGGGTAGGGTTATTTGGGGTGGAGGCGTCGATCGGAGGAGGATCAGTGGTTATCGGACATGTTTCTGGTTTGGATTTTTAGCCTCGCCGTCTGTGGGTTTTAGGGTTTTATATTTTTTTCTCTTTTAATCCACGTCATTCAGTGGGACCAGAAACATGCCAACTAAGCATCCACCGTCTGTCCAGTCATCAAGTTAACTGACGGAGTTAACGGAGTGGACGGAAATGGATATTTTGTGTATTTCGATAGTTGTGGATATATTTGTCACAAACCTGATAGTGGTGGACATATTTGTCACAAACCTGATAGTTGTGGATATACAACTGTATTTTGCCTTTATTCAACTAGCCTATTTGGCATCTAGGTGTAAAGTTTGGTTGCTTTTTGGCTTATGTGGCAGGTGAGATGGCATCGATTCAACATTCCGTTAGTCAATTTAACGCCGTCTGACACGCCGTTATAGTTTCAGACAGAAGTGGATATATTTGTCACACAACCTTCCGATTTTTGGATATTTCGTGTATTTCGATAGTTATGATATATTTGTCACAAACTTGATAGTTGTGGATATACAGCTGTATTTTGCCTATATATTATTGTGGCAAAATTGATGTGTAGATTGAGAAGTGGTAGAACACCCATCTCAACCAACATCATAGTACACCATAAGCTTGAAAAAACTATTAGCAGCACATAACAAACCACACATGGGGTCTGTATAAGATACAGTAAAATTTGATGAGTTGCATCCAATTGTGCCTATGTGGATGCATAAACTACCTAACTAATTAAGTTGATAGAGTAATTAATGTAGGGACTTGTGACTGTGAGATAACAAAAGACCCACTAAATAGTAGAATTAAGGATATTCAACACGAGGAGAATGTAAACAACCAAGTTGATGATTCTGCGTAACTCGGGTGGAGCAGGGGCAAATACCTTGAAACCTAGAGTCAATAAAAATGTATAAGACATACTTGTGTTGATTGAGAACTAGACCATTGGGTGACTGACGACATCAATTTCCAAGAGATATTTCAGTGACCACAGATCCTTGATGGTGAAGCGGTTATGTAGGAAAACTTTAAAACTCTGAATGAAAGGAAGGTTGCTGCTTGCTAACACAACTTCATCAGCATAAATTAAGGAGGCAGAAAAAGAGGATCCAAAATTGTAAATGAACAAAGAATGATCCGCTCAATTATAACATACCACAAATACACCAAAATATGGGAGAATCTTATATACTAGTTGGGACAAACCTATTTGAGCCCATAAATCGACTTATGAAGAGAGCAAATACAAGTATCACCTTTCTACAAAAAAACCTTGCAAAATCTTCATGTAAATTTTTTTTATGTAAGTCACAATGAAAAAAGCACTATTGACATCAATTTGGTGTAATAACCACTCACGAGTGTCTGCAAGATTGCAACTAAAAGGAGGCATCCAATAGTAACTAACTTTGTAAGAGGATCAAAAGTATTGTGATGATCAGTGCCTTTTATATGAGGATATATTTGATCTTATAAAACCACACAGAATCACTCTTACATTTGTCAAGTGGAAAATCAACTAAACTCCACGAATCATTAGCTTCCAAGACTGAGATATGAGTTTTCATAGTGTCCTTCAATGGTTTATACCAAACTTAATGATATTGCAAGATAAGACTTATGACTATGAGACAAGAGATGATAAGTGCATGCTTTTCAAGTGGATGTCGACGGGGAAATGAGCTAGGTAGAGTGACATCGCAAGGGAGATTACCTTGTTAATTACTTTCACAAAGAGGAAGAAATGAAGATTTACAGTGATAGAGCTATCAGAGCCATCTTGAGCAACTGAGTTGGATAGGGACTAGTATGATAACATAGGTGCTAAAGAAGTGGGCCCTACCAGTGAATCATAGGAAGCTGGTGAGAAATCACTATTGTCTGGTGTGATGTCATACTATGTGACTGGTGAAGGAGAAGGGCTGTTATCCATGATGTCACTTAGATATTAGAAATGAATAAAATAAAGAATATTATACTCCACATGAGAGACATCATTTCCCATGTTGAACCATGAAGTGGATTCTGATTGTGGTACATGTTTAGAGAGTAGAGCTCGAAACGAAAAACAATCCAAGAATGTAACATCGCATGATGTGTTATGTGTATATGACTTCGTTGGTAAGGTCATGAATCCAATTGGCATATTGCATGGCATGATACCCATAAACATACCTGCACAACCTTGTACTTCAAATTTGTGCAAATTGTGATGGTTATCCTTGGCATAAACAAGGCACCTGAATCAGTGGCGGACCTAAAAATATCACCAAGGTCATTTAATGAAAAATAAAAATAAACCTATAAATAATAAAATTTCCCTCATAAAGTATACATATTGATTGTTTCATAGTAAACTACAACATATTTTCATATTCTAAGAAGTTTATAAAGTATATTCGTCACTTATGTTGCAACTCAAACCTTTTTAAATAAATGTTACCAAGCAATCATTCATAAATTGGTATCACATATGATTTCTATAATCGTTTTTTACGAATTTAATTGTTGAAATGGACCTCTCAACAATGTGACTGTTGGCGAGAGAAGAAGCCAAGGAAGGAAGTATTGCACACATAAATTGAGATGTTTTCACTCTTGATAAACTGTAACAGGAATTTGGGGGGGGGGGGGGGTTAGTCGAAGAGGTTTTATGCTCCAAAGTGCAAAAGAAGAACTAATTAAGATGTTTGGATTCAGAAAAATTAATATGGCTTAGAAATGACTTTAGGCGCTTTAATTGATTTGCTTTTATAAATGTAAAGTTCAGTTTGAAATTGCAAGCGTTTTTAAATGGGTGAGACTTCAATTACGAGAAACAATAATATGAATTTTAACACACTAATTGGGTGTCAATTTTTAATTAAGCCCCCTGATAAGAATTCGTGAAGATGAGAGTATGGAGACAACTTTCCCAATAATATTTTATATGTAGTCTGATTCTTCAATGAAGTAATAGGCATGCAATCAATGAGACAGGAAACATTTAAAACTACATTCTGTGAGAAAATGAGAGGGAAGTCCAACGTGAAATATGAGTGTTCTAGCTGTATCGAGCAGTTGTCTATGTTTTCTTTCAACTACTCCATTTTGATGGGGAGTATCAGTGCAACATGTTTGGAGAATCATTCCGCTCTTTGCATAATAATCTCATAGTACAGTATTATTGAACTCTGGTCCACTGTTGGCTCGAATTTTTAAAACCTTAAGATTATTATTGTGTGAAAACTTATTTGCAAACTTGAAGAAAGAGGCATTCGACTTATATTTTAATAGGATAACCCAAATATACCCACTATAATCATCCACAATGGTGGGAAAATATTTTTCACACTAAATGAAGCTTATCTATAACTTCCCCAAATATCAACATGAATCAACTCAAAGCAAGAAGTGGTTCGAATGTGACCGACATAAAAAGTATCTAGTTTTGTTTGCTCGAGGACAATAATCACAAAGATCTTTGTTTTGAACAATAATATTGTTAAGGAAGGGTGCTAAAATGAAAAACTTCTCAAAAGATTGATGACCAAGTCATGAATGTCAAATTATTGTATGTTGATATGCTTAAACTACTGGATGATGCTCATTACATAATCGCAAATGTTAAAGATGATCAAAAAAATTCATGTCCCAATCAGCCTCATGAAGTGTAAGTCACTAATGACATATAAATCATTGGTAAAGATTCATATTACAGAAGAATAACTATAAGATGACTAACAAATTATGAGTTGCACTTGAAATTTGAGACGTGCAACACACAAATGAGAACCATCATATTACCCAATAAAGGTCGATTGTGGTTGGATCTAGACAGG